GGGCATGGGTGCTTAGTATTTGTGTATGTGTGTGCGTTTTTCTATGTTTGTGTACAGGTAGAGGCCTTGCGACAAGCTGATCACCCGCCCAAGGAGTTCTACCGAGTGTCTAAGATCTAGTAAACTGAAGTGAAATGGAAAGTTTCACGGAGGTAGGCCAAGGTCAGAATTGGGGCTATAGCGCCAAAGGGGATAAAATCAATATACGGTTAAACTACTGGACACTTTTTTTTAGGAAGCATAATACTGTAAATATAATTTAGTTCCGGGTTAAGTAAGCTTCAGCATCAGTGTTGCACAAACTCTAAGATGCTGAAATATGAAGTCAGCCCATAATTAGGTCTTCAAAGGGAAGTTCAATGTCAATCACAAATGTCCTGTGTAACTTTCTGCGCCTCCGCTCAACTGGATGAACAAATTCTGAAATTGGCCCTATCTTTCATAAAGGACAAAAATTAGGAAGATTCTATCATGGCACTCCACCCAATATCTTTGTTCTCATCAATGGATGAAAGCAACTTCGCGTGAAATCCGTATTTAATTTATACGCGCTTAACGAAAAACCCAGATATTAATTATATGTGATGCGCCTACAACTTTTAAAAGAAAAAATTATAAATTTAAAAGTATGACTTATGTTCAAGAACGAAAATGAAAACAAGAAAGGAAACACGGTTAAGATTTTAGGGTCTACAGCTTTTAGTAGGGTCAATGCCCTTATACGGCACCTAAACATAAATTATCTATGACAAGAAAAGGATCGAAATAAAATTCGGTCTGCAGACAGAAAATATTTAGGAAATATGAGGTGCTGCATTAATAATGCATACACAAAAGAAGGAAAACATTAGTACAAACACAGGATAGCCTATATTTGGTTTCATTATCCTCCTGCACACCGTCAAGAAACTCCCCTACGATACCTGTCCAATGCCTGAAGCTCTTATTATATTTTCGAACATACAGGTGGAGTGGGCGTAGCCGCAGAGCTGTACCGAAATGTACTGTTTCAAATCTTGGCCTGCATATAATCTACATGGCCTACACACTGAGGGTTTTCTGCAGCCCGCCAGGCATTGCCTATCTCAGGGTAGTGTTTTCAACTAGGCACAAAGAAATATTTTGCAGAACAAAATGGAAGGATCTTTTAGAAATAATGGATAAACTTGGCCTTTCATTATATCCTTTAATTATATAGACTTATAATCCCAATAGTATCCAGCGAAAGAAGGACGGATTCATTAAAATATATGAGGCCAGATTAGAGAGCACTCTAAACCATGCATTGGAAGAGAATACATCCTCCAAGCAAAGAGACGAAACTATTGGTTACCTCCATATGCAATAGAATTGACGTATCGGTTGAAAAGTAAAACGACTCATTATTTGTGGATTAAACTGCGATGCTGAGACAAGTTAATTTCTGTTACTAGGGAATTCAATATCTCGACGAGGGAGATATGAACAGGACTGCAGAACTCTACAGTGTATACACACGTATAAGAGGCGCGTTCCGTAAAATGAATAGTAAATGGAATGACAACATCCACGTTCTGCAAAAAATATACTAAAAATAAAATATATCTAATGCAATAAAGTGAAGTAATATATATATTTTTTTTAATTTTGAAACATCCTTATTTTAGATAAACTGAACAACTGAGATTGCAATTAATTAATCCACTATAACAAAAATTAAATTAATACCATAATTTTAATTAATGGTTGATACCAATTAAAATCAGCGAGAACTCAAAATTATATGATGAATGAATAATAAACATCAAGCCTTTGGTATTCACAGTTATTAGGCCTAAGAAAATTAAATATAAATAAATTGTTCAAGATTGGCATGCCTCAAAATCTTATGAAATAAACCAATCCATTAACAATAAAACAAATATGATTTTAAAGCTGCTTAAAATCATGCAAGAATTTATTTCGTTTTCTATCTCATAATTTCCGTCATACGCCGAAATAAATAGTTCTTTTCGTGTAGGTTGACTTTTTATGATCAAGAATAAAAGATGTAAGTTTTGAGGTTTTCACTGCGATGACTATGAAGAAAGTCGTCTTCTGGGTTTTGGCGCCGTGTATTCTTCGTTTTGGCCGACGTTTCGGAGGAGCTACTGCTCTCTGCATTCACAAGCCATTCACCTGCTCTGAAGATGGAGGCGATACGTTCCTCCGAAACGTCGGGCAAAACGAAGAATACACGACGCCAAAACCCAGAAGACGACTTTCTTCAAGAATAAAAGAGTTCGAGAATGTACATACAGGGTTACTTTCATTCAATTATCTGGGAAAAACCTCAAGAGTTACGTAAAAATTGCGTGGCCGTAAAATAAGCATATGATTGATCTCTACAACGATCATTCGAAATATTTTCGCTGAAATGAAAATAAAATAGTTATACTTGAAAATTATGTAGAAAAACGTCTTCATGTAGTGTGCTATTTTTTACCTATTTTAACCCAAACTGGACTGGTTTGATAAATCTTCGTGTCAATAAAATTTCGTAACAAAAATGAGGGAGTGGTCGAGTAGTTTCATGCGTGCAGTCACAGCGACGAACAGACGGATCGAGTGATTTTTAACAGGGGCTCTGCAGGGCTGCGAACGCGCCTAAAAAAGAAGCTCTCCCTCATTCGCTTCAGAGCGACTAATAATCTAACAGGGTCCAGGATACGTTACAAACAAAAGCGACCATTCCTTTGTGCCCCTGTCGTTCCTTTGTTAAGAGAATAGGAAGCCAAGTGGATGGCTGTCTGACGTCACTGACCCCTGCTCAAGGAGACTCTCAAACGCTATTCTGTTTCATTCCAATTTTACTTTTTAATTTTAATGCCGACCCCCAGTAATTAGCCTACATGGCGGACGTAACAACTTGTGACGTGGGAACGACACTAGCAGAACCTAGCGTAGGAATTTTAAATTATGTATGTCAATACAGCTTCGAAAAAAATGCGACTTTTGTTAAGGCCGCAACTGAAGCAACAATATGGCGACCATGCGAATGTTTTCATTATCTTTAAATCTGATGGCATTACCTAATGGACTAGGGGAGACAGCTGCAATATTCAAATGACTAAGAACAGATCCAAATTCCAAGTTCTTTTGTGAACATGGAGACAAGTTTTCGTTTCTACAAAAACTAGTATTTTGCGGACTAGGTTTAGTGACTATCAATTTTTGAAAATGGAGGACATTGTACCATGAAGTTGGTATGTATATTTGTCTGTTTGCTTCTCAATCAGAAAACGTTTAAATGTCAGGGTTTATATGTTGCAATACCAGACGTCTCCAAACATCATTTAAGTGTGCAGTACCATGCACGGGTAAAATACAAACAGATTATGTTGTTTTACGGCGCCTTCGTTTGAAGGTTACATGCATTAAGAATTCAAGAGACTAGTTTACACTTATAGGGTGAGGTAATTCGCGGATTTAAATGACGTTTTTGAAGAAAGAAAGAAAGAAAGAAAGAAGGGATGAAAGAAAGAAGGAAAGAAAGCAAGAAGGAAGGAAGGAAAGAAAGAAGGACGGAAAGAAAGCAAGAAGGAAGTAAGGAAAGAAAGAAAGAAAGCAAGAAGGAAGGAAGGAAAGAAAGAAAGAAGGAAGGAAAGCAAGAAGGAAAGAAGGAAGGAAAGAAAGAACGAAAACAAGAAGGAAGGAAGGAAAGAAAGAAAGAAGGAATGAAAGAAAGAAGGAAAGAAAGCAAGAAGGAAGGAAGGAAGGAAAGAAAGGAAGAAAGCAAGAAGAAAGGAAAGAAAGAAAGAAAGAAAGAAAGAAAGAAGAAAAGAAAGAAAAAGGAAGGAAGAAAAGAAAGAAAGAATAATAAAATACATTCTGGAATCACTGTGGCGAAAGCTTCGGTTCAGCCCGGCCCTATCGCCCCCTTGTTTCATCCACGGCAGCGCCATGTTTACTTCCAGATCGCGGAAGCAGCAGAATCCTTTTGCCAGAGCGATTTATTTTCCCACACTCGGTGTGTGAGTGTTGATATTCATAACAACCAATTGGAAATGTCCAAAGACATCAGAAAACTGCTAGCCTCAATTCGGTCAACGATTCGTTTAAAATTTCTTCTTTCTTTGAAACCCCGTAACGACCCCATGGGATAACACAAATATTCTCCCCGACTGACACCAGAATTGTCTCCTCTAAAACACGAATAAGCAGTTGGAAGAACTCATGTTACAGCACGGTACACCAGACAGAGAAGAGATTAATTATGAAGACTTAAGCCACTGTTCAGAGATGACATCTCCAAACAATTTAAATCCGAAACAAAAATAAAATTACTGACGGTACCTTTAAACTCCCTCCAAAAGCTCTTCACGAATGACCCTCAATGCTGAATTGTGCGAATCATCTTCAATGGTAGAGCTAAAATGAAGGGGAAACCCCGAAAGTGAACGAACGTACTTGTTTACTTAATGAAGCTGCAATATGTAGTAGGATCATTGACGATGATGAAAAAAGTGCGCAAACATTTAAACCTCGCGTGTGATTACAATCCTTACAAACCGAGACCATAGGAATCCTTTGTACTGCGGTTAACTTTCTTAATTTATATTATCTCAAGATCTCAAATTTCGTGTTAGCAACACTAATTTCGATGCGTTACAGCAGAATCGTGGGACCGCCTCTGTGGTCTAATGGTCAGAGTTCCTGGCTACAGATCCAGAAGTCCAGGTTCGATTTCCGGCGCTACCAGATTTCTTTTGAGAAGTAGTGGGTCTGGAACGGGATCCACTCAGCCTCGTGAGGATAACTGAAGAGCTATTTCAAGGAAATAGAGCCTCCGGTCTAGAAAACCGAAAGTAACGGCCGTGGGGATTCGTTGCGCTGACCACGCGACACACTCTATCCACAGAAGTCGGCACTAACTTCGCCGACAAGCGGCGGTCTCTCGGTCGGTATAGTTCGCCTGTGGACTCAAGCCACGGTGTTTAGTTTCCTTACAGCACAATCGTATGAATGTATGCCGTTCTTACCTGCAGTAGCAGAGAGCCGTCCGAGACGACGATGCGGATACAGAACTTGTAGCCGACGTCCCAGCGAGCAACCACATACACCTCCTCCATGAAGGAATACGGGACCGACATGTACATGAAACCGGTAGGCTGAAACAAAAGGCCTCATGTCAAGACTAGTTCTGTACCAATTGACGTTAAGTCCGTCGGCAAGTCTGCTAAAACAGTCTCCGGACTGAATATTCTTTTGCTTTAAAATAATGGTCTTAATTTCAGATTAAACCGTTCAGTTACCCCAATGCACACCAAAAACTCATACCACAACAGGCAACGTCCAACATAGACAAAAATGAGGTATACTGAATCGCCCATTCTCAGGAAATACTGTAGAAATATTTCCTCAGTGAATATGATGATTGAAGGTTCTAAGGTATTTGAATCGAAGGCCAAGCCATAGCTCAAGGGGTTAGTCGCTGGCTTCCCACAGCGGCGACCCGGGTTCGATCCCGAGTCTTGTCAAGTGGGATTTGTGGTGGACAAAGAGGCGCTATGGCAGGTTTTCTCCGAGTACTTCGGTTTCCCCTGCTAATCTTCATTCCACCAATTGCTCCACAATCACACTCACCTATCATCTGGGGCTGGTAAAATAGGCCAGAAGTGGCCGCAGTACAAGGGACTTAGTCCCATCCCACAAGCAGTACTTGAATCGAATTTCGGATAAGTTTTTCTCAACTATTACAGGGAAATATTGGGATCATAACTGCTCTTTGATATATTATTCGTAGCCTAAATATTTGCTTGGTCTAAAAATTAATAGTCACACTTCGAAATAAATGTAAAGGTGTTAAGCACTACGCCATGAAGGCGTATGAGGTGTGAACGTATAGATCTACGTTTTCTTGATCTCGGCACTAGTTGGAGGTGAATGGTCAGCTTCACGCTCCGGCCACTTTAACCCCAGTAAAGAGCCCCCGATACCCATTGTATATAAGGTTGGATGAACCCCAAAACCGGTCTCGAGAATGCGGAAAAGTGAATATTCTTGCCTAACAGGGACTCAAACGCCGAAACCTCCGTCCTCCACGCAGTAACGAGTCGCTATACCGACTGAGCTATCCCAGCTCCTAGTCACACCTCGAAATTTCCCTGTTAAACACGGAGGCCTCATTACATACGGGGCTTCGGAGAATAAGACGTACACGCCGTTAATATTATCATAGCACCTCTCACAAACAGGCTTCCGTGGTACGGGATGGAACGGTATTTACCTATTCCATTAAGTTACACAAATATGAGGAACCACAATTTAAGACTGCGTAAAAGCGAGCGTGCAGTAACTGCTCTTCTCACCACATCGCATTTTCCATTATACGAACCTGATTCAACAAGGAGAGGCCCGTGTCAAATGTTGCGCAGGACAAGTCTTTTAAACTCCTCCAGGTCTCATAATGGTGACTATTAACGCTACTGTTTTCTGGGGTGTGACGCCGTACAGTCCAGCAGATACGTATATACGTTACAGAGAAGACAGCTACCTCCTGAACTATGAATTAGACTATACGGCGTTACAAACTAGACGTCAGTAAACTCTTTCCAAGTCTGTTTTAATCAATTTTCAGTAGTCTCATGGATGACATATACACTTAGTACCTTCGTTGGTTATTACAAATATTTCGTAAATCTAATTCAATTCAAAATAATTAATTGGATGTACTGTCACAGTATGCGGGGTAGTTCGGTTGGCATCGCGACGGTCTACTGCCTAGACGGTCGGGGTTTCAATTCCTAGTATGGACAATAAATTTGTCTCTACTCCACGGCGTCCAAACCGGCTCGGGCCATCCAATGGGTGCCGGCGGCTACCGGGGTGCAGCGGTCGGAGAGTGAATATAACCACCCACCTCTATCTAGTGTAGAAGCGAAGAATGGTGGAACTATATGTCCACTCCCCCATACATCTACATGGCTTGATGCTTAACGAATTATGTACAGAGACAACTTTGCCTTCTTCCTTTTACTGTCACAGTATGCAATATTTGTTTCCGTAACTACCTTGGTACTGTTTCGTATTGCCTAACAATCAGGCGCCGGGTAAGAAAGATACAGTTTAATGTACCGTACTACGTCGAACTTCTAGAACTTTCAAAGGAAACATAGACCATACCAAAATTACACAACCAATGGTCCTTCTGCACGTCCCACTTAGAAATATTTACGAGATTACTTCGGGATATTACAAGAGGCATTTCGCTCTAAGAGCAAAATTCATCCATGTGGTATGACTGTTTTCTTTCCATGGATTTGAAGGAAGTATTTTCAGAATGGAGACTATTACGTGTCGGCTGGTATGAAGCATGACGGGTTTAAAAGGATGTAAAAGGAAGCGGTCGTGGCCTAATCGAGGTAATATCCCATTATTTACCTGGAGGGACTCAGGAAAACAGCGACAAACCTCAAATGGTATAAAAATTATTTATTTCTACCTCCAAGAAAACGACATGCATCTCAGTTACAAAGATCGGTCCGCTTGATATATTTTGAGAAACATAACAGAAAATATAAATACGCCCGAAGAACAATGTCGCTTATTCCCTAGGCTTTAATGAATATGTTTCACTTACATGTTAGTTTAGCCTCGCCAGAGCTCAAGCGGTTAGTGGCTGGCTGCCCACCGTGGCGGCCCGGGTTAGATCCTGGGTATGGTCAAGTGGAATTTGTGGTGCACAAAGTTGTGCTGGGGCGTGTGTTCTCCGAGTACTTCGGTTTCCCCTGCCAATCTTCATTCCACCAAATTTTCCATCATCATAATCACCCGGGGCAGGCTACAAAGGCCAATCAGTGGCCTCCGTGCCGAGTGGATCCAGTTGGACTCCACCCCCACTAAGCGAATTAATACATGTTAGTTATTGATTTCTGTAATGAATTAAGAATACAGACTTAACTCCACATATTAATGCATTAGCTAGCCAACTAACTAACTAACTAATTAATCTAATAGTGCGGAAACCTTTCTTGAATAAATGATGGTGTTCTGCTGGTCAAGAAGTCCCTACCGTTTTCTGTTATTATTTAAAGGTTCACTAAATAGTGTAGGGGGAACGAGGTAATGTAGTCGGTTGAGGCACTATGCTACAAGCCGAAAGGTCGCGGGATCGAATCACGATGAGGAGTAATTTTTCAATTTACTTAATCCTTCCAACCGCACTATGGCCCTAAGATCGACTCAGCCTCTAAAGGGGCCCATACACGAACGAGTCCGACTCGGCTCGGGTTCCAATGAGCCAAACTCGTCCGTGTGCGGGTCACAAAGTTGGGAGTCAGCTCATGCGTCTGTGGTGAAATTAATCCGAGCTCGCCGAGCCAGAGTCGTACGTGTATGGGCCCCTTAACAGAAGTAAGTATCCGGAATATTCCTGGGGGATAAAGGGCGCCGACGCGTAAGGCTGACAACCTCACCACCATTTCTGAGCCGACAGTCTATAAAATATGGGAGACTCAATATCTGACAATCCTATGGGCCTCCACGGCCTGTTACAAGAATTAAAAAAAAAGTAAAGCTATCCCTGTAACAGGAAGTGAAGGCCCATGGGGTTGTGAGACGTTGAGGGTCCCACATTATCTAGACAGTCGGCTCAAAGATGGCGGTAAGGTTGTCAGCCTTAAGCGCCGGCCGCGCTTTACTCCTCAGAAAAAATATTTAATTAATTCCTAGTACTCATTTCTGTTAGCGGCTGGGTCGACCTCAGGGCCATAGTGCGGCTGGAAAGATTAGGTCAACTGAAAAAATCCAATCTCCTCATCGGGACTTGAACTCGCGACCTTCCGGCTTGTAGCATAGTGCCTGAATAAACTACGTTACCGCGTGCCCCCTTGTTACAGGGATACCTTTACTTATTAAATTGTTTAAGAGTCCGTCACTGGACCATGTACTCATTGTGTTGATACAAGTTTACACCCATAACGAACCAATTTTATACGTATTTTCGTTATCTATATCTCGATATCCCAAGTTGTGTCTTTCATTAAGGTTTTCCGACCAAAATTCTGTACGCAATTCTCACCTCCTCCATAGTACATGTCCCACTCATGTCACTTCTTCTGGATTTACGATTAATCACCTTAATAATATTAGGCGAACAGTAAACACTGCGTAGTTCATCATAGTGAAACTTCTCCTCTCTTCTGTTATTTCGTCTTTCGTAGATCCAAATATTTACATCTGCAGTTCGTTCTCAAACATCCTCAATCTGTTTTCTCCCTTAATTTGCGACATTGAGTCTATGTGGTAAAATTTGAAGGAAAACATTATTTAGCACTAGTTTACTTTAGCGCTCTTCTGTATGCGTTTCGCACAGAGCGCTTTTAATTTAACAAACAAGTTTTATGGTCAATCTATTAAGCGTGCAGCACGTCATTTAGAGCCCGCATTTAAGAAGACTTTTTTTTTATTCGCTTTATGGGGGGGGGTGGAGTCCAACTGGGTCCACTCGACACGGCGGTCACTGATTGACCTATTGTAGCCTGCCCCGGGTGATTTTGATGATGGAGAATTTGGTGGAATGAAAATTGGCAGAGGAAACCGAAATACTCGGAGAAAACCAGCCCCAGCGCCACTTTGTCTACCACAAATCCCACTTGACCAGACCCAGGACCGAACCCGGGCCGCCACGGTGAGAAGCCAGCGAATAACCGCTTAAGCTAAGGCGCGGCCATTAAGAAGACTTAGAGAAATGTACTTTCTCAAATTTCATTCTTATATCCGCGACAAAAGTCAAATCGATCTATCGAACGTCCACGGCATCATCACTATTAATTGACTGACAGAAATGATTTTCTGAAAATTCATCAGAATTATTCCCCATAAATTTAACTAGGTAACATTTTTTCTTTAAAAAAAATTGAAAGCTTTACACGCTGGATAGTTATAAAATTGCACAGTAATTTTTGAAAATGTGATTACAGTATCATAATGTATGAAATACAAACATATGTACTGTTACACAGTTTAATAGCCCACTAAAAGTCACATCCTTTGAAAGCTTGCTAATCTATTTTAACATTATTTTAACGTGAGTCTTTATAAAACAGACATAATATTGTGCAAAGGAAAGTTTAATTTTTAGGACCCTAACTTTATTTTCGCGCCAGTG